CTTCCCCGGCGACAACACATCACATGAGCCATTTGATGGGCTACATCCCGCTCTGGGTTCGCTGGCAAAACCAGGTCTTCACGCCTTCTGGGCAACTGTCAGAGAGGGGACCATTCTAATCTCATGGGGGGGGGGACGATGTTCCAGAGAGAGGGAGCCACCACGTAGAAGGCCCTTCTTCTGGGTCCCACCGGGTGTGTCTCCCTAGGGGATGGGATCCACAACATTCCCTGTCTCCCTGCTCTGGTGGGCCGGGTAGATGTGTCTGGCAAGAGAGAGTTTTCCTAAGATCACCTGGTGATCTTAAAGCCATGGAGGGCTTTAATGGTGACAACCAGCACCTTGAATTGCCCCCAGGAAACAAATCGGCATCCAATGCAGCTCCCGCAGGAGAGGTGATAAATGTGCACATGTGGTCTGCACAAAACTACACCGGCCATTGCATTTTTCACCCACTGCAGTTTCCAGATGCTTTTCAAGGGCAGCCCCATGCAGAGCGCATTGCAGTAGTCAAGATGGGAAGTGAAATTTATGTTCTAATTTGAGGTGGACACCCCACTGCGACCCATTAAAAGTCCCCCCTGGCAACACTCCTTCCTTCTCTCCTCTGTACGAATAACTCCAGCGGAGGACCTGTCCCTTTCAATGACCGTCTGGGGGTCCATCTGGCATCTCTCCATTCCTCCACCCCAAAATCAAACTTTTCCATGGCTTGCTTCCCACCCTCCCGCTCCCCCAGCTTTCAGTTGAGGCGAACGCTCGACCCATTCCATTCCCAACGCTGCTCACCCGAACCCACCATGACATTGTCAGAAGCTGGAGTTTTCCTGCATCAAGCGCTGGGAGGGGAGAGGGGGCAGCTCCTTGTCTCCCCATCCCCACCCCACCCTGCCGTTCCATGTTCATCCTTGACGTGATCTAGCGTGGGATGGCCCCGTCGCCCCATTTCAGCTGGTTAAATCCTGCACCTTCCTTGTGTTTTGACAGGCTTTGTGAGTTTTGACAATCCTGCTAGCGCCCAAGCGGCCATCCAGGCCATGAATGGCTTCCAGATTGGGATGAAGAGGCTGAAGGTCCAACTGAAAAGGCCAAAGGATGCTAACCGTCCTTATTGAAGAACGGTGGGAAACACTGGATAAGCAAGGTCTAGCACAGGTAACTGCTGGAGGGGTGGGGGTGGCCAGGAGCATCACCCGTTGTTCCGTAGCGTCTCCTGTGTTGTGGACACCAATGACTTCTAACCGCTAAGATTCGACCTTCTAGAACAGGGGCGTCGAACTCGATTTCACCGAGGGGCTGCATCAAGGTTGCATTTGATGTCAGCGAGCCGGGGGACGCCTGTGGTGGCACGAGCGCCCTCTCAGTGAAAACGGGCTCTCAAGCTGCGTTTCTGGCTGCGACAGCCTCCTGCAGCCCTCTGTCAGAGGAAATGCAGCTCGGGAGGTGTGGCCACAGCCCTCCTGAGGTCTATTTTCAGCTGCGACAGCTTCCAACAACCCTCTTGCCAGCAAAAACACAGTTCTGGAGGGCCCCCCACAGCCCTTCTGTGATCCATTGTGGATGGCCTCTTGCAACCCTCTGCTGCCGAAAACAGAGCTCGGGAGAGCCGCCCGAGTCCGTCATGAGCTCTGTTTTCGCTGGCAGAAAGCAACACACGCCGGTCCTTTCCTGTTTCCAGGGCAACACCATGGACCAGATCTAAGCACCCCAAAGGCCGGATCCAGACCTTACGTTTGATACCCCTGTTCTAGAACCATTTCTGAAGCACCTCGAGCACTTGACTCTATGGCAGTGTTTCTCAACCTTGGCAACTTGAAGACGTCCGGACTTCAACTCCCAGAATTCCCCAGCCAGCATTCGCATTCGCTGGCTGGGGAATTCTGGGAGTTGAAGTCCGGACATCTTCAAGTTGCCAAGGTTGAGAAACACTGCTCTATGGGGTTGAGGCATCGCAGTGGGTTTATAGTGAGGGAGATACGAGGCTGGCCTGTTGTTGTTTTTATATATTTCTTTGTGTTTTGTTGCTGTTGTTTGTTTATTAAATTTCTATGCTGCCCATCCGACCTACAAGGGCGTTCTGGGCACCTTCCAAATTATAGAAAATGAGTGGAAAGTCATCCACACATTAAAAACGAGCCAATATTAAAAAGGCAATTATAAACTGTACTTAAACCAGGCCTACAAGAGCCGAGAGACAGATGGGGCAATCTGTCTTTTTATCCCGGGGGTATCAAGCCAAATTTCATCGAGGGCTGCATCAGGGTTTGTGTCTGACCTCGGAGGGATGGTGTGTGTATGTGTGTGGGGTGTGGCCAGGGGTGTGGCCAGGGTGGGCGTGGACGTCACTCATCCATTTTTGGCTGCAACAACCTCCTGCAGCCCTTTGCAGCAAAAATAGAGCTCGAGGAGGCCTTACACTGCCCGCCTGGCAGGAGTGAAATACTACCAGTTTGGACCAGTTCGCCCAAACCAGTAGTTAAAAAAGTGCTCCTGGTTCAGCCAAACCAGTAGTTCCAACTATCAGCTGTGCATCAATCAGCTGTGCTACACGATTTATATCCTGTTTTCTAGCAAATCTAAATTGTACGGCCCAGCTATTCCCCCACCCCTCGCTGTTCTATTTACCTCTGCAGACTCAGAAAAAGCTTCTTAATCCTCCTTTTTCAGTGCTTCATGGTAACACGAAGCGAACCGGTAGCAAAGCGAACCGGTAGCAGACTTCCGAGCATTTCATCCCTGTTGCCAGGGCTCTGTTTTCGGCAGCAGAGGGCTACAGGAGGCTGTCGCAGCTGAAAACGGAGCCCGGACGAGCCACACATGCACCTCCCAAGCTCCATTTTTGCTGGCAGGGGCACCACGGGCTGGTCCTTTGCTGTTTCCAGGGTGGGCCCATGGGCTAGATCAAAGCACCCTGTGGGCCGGATCTGTCCTCCGGTCCTTGAGTTTGATTCTTATCCAATCAGCCACCTCCATGGTGAGGTCTTCTTATCCCATCAGCCACCTCCAGTGGTGTGCGTCTCCCTCAGGGCCCCAGGCCAACCGGCAAAACCAGGTTTTGAGAGTCTTCCAGAAGGCCAAAAGAGAGGGGTCAGTTTTCACCTCCAATGGTAGAGTGCTCCACAGAGATGGAGCCACCGCAGAAAAGGCCCTTCTCCTTGATTCCATTGACTCTAGTTCCTTACCAGATGGGTTCTATACCAGACCTCTTCCACTGGCACACGTGGGGGTGGGCTTGCCCCATTAGCTCCTCAGATACCCTGAACCCATGCCACAATTTTGCATTTTTCAGCACAGCCTCCTTGTTGCAAGTTCCCTTTTCAAATCCACGGTTAATCCCTGGTACCAAGTGGGCAATTTCGAAAGAGATTCCTTGCAACTTGGCACCAAAAGCAATGAAGGGGTAATTTCCAGATCTCCATCCCCAGCAACAAATCTAGATTAGCCTGGGAGGCAGAGTACAATTCAACGTCTGAGACACACGTTTATTGAAAGCTGGACAAAGAGGGTGTCAAAGTTCCAAATATCATCCAAAATTAAATCAGAGTCCAAGGCAAAGTATTGCTCAAAGTTCCAATTTATTAAGAGAGCCATGTTGGCACATCTGGGAAAACCCAAATCTGAAAGCTTCCCGGTTTTCCCCACCCATTTGAAAGTTCAGGATCTTGCCCCCACACCAGAGGTGGGTTCCTACC